TTTTTTCCTGGACATTTGAAAATGTTTCTCACATTTTCTACTTTTAGTTTCTATATCTATTAGAAAGATGTAGCCTGGGGAAACTAGCACAATAGGCCACACTGAGTCATCTGTCTGAATTTAAATGACAAGAATAGTAGAGAATGCCTTTACATAGTAAGTATGAGGTCCAAAAAGGGTACTTTACAAAGGTGACCAGAGTTGAAGGTCCCAATTCAGATTTTTAAAAAAATGTTTTAATAGTTTATTCATTTTTGAGACAGACAGAAATAGAGCACAAGTGGGGGTGGGGTAGAGAGAGAGGGAGACACAGAATTTGAAACAGGCTCCAGGCTCTGAGCTGTTAGCATAGAACCTGGATGCGGGACTCGAACCCACGAACCGCGAAATCATGACCTGAGCCGAAGTCGGACGCTCAACTGACTGAGCCACCCAGGCGACCCCCAATTCAGATTTTTGTATCCAGAGTCAGAAAGAAAACTCTCATACTAACGTCATTCAGCTAAGTGATAGAGAAGGTATGTGCCCACAATAAAGAACATTATCAAATAAGCAGCATTAGCTATTCCTTAACAAGTTTTGAAGACTTCATCCTCTTACTAACATTCCATATGCAGCACTAATTCATTCAGCCTTACAATAAAATTCTTTTAAAGCATAAGCTTTATAATATAGACCTTACACTTCCCCACAGATAGTCCCCAGTGCTAAATATCCCCAAACCATTTTAACCGTCTTTGCCTCATAGAATCTTTTCACAGCCACTTACTCAGCACATTCATTCCATGCAAAACACTAAACCGAGTGCTGTTAAAAAACACATAACCACAGAATTGATGCACAACAAACTCAGAACCTAAACTGTTACTAAAATGAAAACTTAAAAGAAATAGAATATAAGGTAGAAGGTACTTAAGAAGCGTAAGAACACTACATGTAAAGCATCACAAGATTTAGAGGAGGAAAGATACATTTTTGTTGGGCAGAGATCAGAGAAGGCTTTCAGTCTGGGCACTAACGAAGAGGCAGATTCTAGAAAACTCAAGATAATTAACTCTAGAGTTATTACAAATTTATTGATGTGGCTGGGTACAAAACTAATACAAAGCAGTATTTTTCATATTTATAACGACCAGTAAAAAATATAAACAGCATTTATAACAGCAACAAAAAAGATAAAATTCCTAAACATATGCATTTTTTCCTATGTTAGTTCTAAGAGCTGTATGGAGAATGTATATGGGGTAACTGGTTTGAACAAAATCCTCTAGTTATACATATTATAGAAGTGCAATACTGTTGGATAGAAAAAAACAACAACAAAGTCGATTCTCCATAAGCTAACATATAAGGTTTGCCTTTTTTTTTTTTTTTACATTTAAAAAAAATTTAATTCCAGGGTCAACATACAGTGTTAAACCAGTTTCAGGTGCACACCAGTTACATGTATTACTCAAGGACTCATCAAGTGTAGTCTTAACCTCCATCACCTATCTCACCCATCCCCCTCCCACCTCCCCTCTGGTAACCATCTGTTTGTTTTTTGTAGTTCAAGAGTCTGATTTGTTGTTTCCTTTTTCCCCTTTGGTCATCTGTTTTCTTAAATTTCATATATGAATGAAATCATATGGTATTTGTCTTCCTCGGACTGACTGACTTCATTTAGCATTATACTTTCTTGATCCAACCATGTTGTTAAAAATGGCAAGATTTCATTCTTTTGATGGCTGAATAATATTGCATTGTGTGTTTGTACATAAATACACACACGACACATATATACATGCCACATCTTCTTTATCCTTTCGCCTATCGATGGACACTTGGGAAGCTTCCACAGTTTGGCTATTGTAAATAATGCTGCAATAAACATAGGGGTGCATATACTGCTTCCAATTAGTGTTTTCATACCCTCTAGGTAAATGCCCAGTAGTGTGATTACCAAATCATAAGGTAGTTCTATTTTTAATTTTTTGAGGAAACTCCATACTGTTCCCACAGTGGCTGCACCAGTTTGCATTCCCTCCAACAGTGCAAGACTGTTCCCCTTTCTCCACACCCTTGTCAACATTTGTAGTTTCCTGATTTTAGCCATTCTGACAGGTATGAGGGGATACCTCACCGCAGTTTTGATTTGCATTTCCCTAATGATGAGTGATGTTGGGCATCTTTTTATGTGTCTGTTGTCCACCTGGACATCAGACATCTTTGGAGAATTGTCTGGTCATGCCTTCTGCCCATTTTAAATTGGATTATTTGTTTTTTTCGTGTTGAGTTGTATCAGTTATTTAAATATACTTTAGATATTATAACCCTTCATCAAATATGTCATTTGGAAGTATCTTCTCCCATTTCACAGGCTGTCTTATAGTTTTGCTGTCTTACTTCCTTTGCTGTGCAGCAACTTATTTTGATGTAGCCCCAAAAGTTTACTTTTGCTCTTGTTTCCCTTGCCTCAAGAGACCTATCTTAAAGGATGTTGTTAAGATCAGTTGCTGAGAAATTATTGCCTGTGTTTTCTTCTAGGATATTTATGGTTTCAGTTCTCATATTTAGGTCCTTGGTCCATTCTGAGAGTATGGTGTACAAAAGTGGGCCAGTTTCATTCTTTTGCATGATGCTGTACAGTTTTCCTAACACCATTTGTTGAAGAGACAGTTTTTTTTTTCCCATTGAACATTCTTGCCCCCTTTGTCAAAGATTAACTGACCATATAATTATGTGTTTATTTCTGGGATTTCTATTCTGTTCTATTGATCCACATGTCTATTTTTTTGCTAGTATCATACTGTATTGATTACTATAGCTTTATAGTACACTTGATATCTGGGACTGTGATACCTCCAGCTTTGCTTATCTTTTTCAAGGTTGCTTTGGCGACTTGACAACTTTCATGGTTCCATACAAATTTTACAAATGCTTGTTTTAGTCCTGTGAAAAATGCTGTTGGTATTTTGATAGGAATTGCATTTAAATCTGTAGGCTGCTTTAGGTAGTATGGACATTTTAATAATATTTCTTCTTCCTATTCATGAGCATGGATTGTCTTTCCATTTCTTTGTGTTGCCTTCAATTTCTCTCATCAATGTTTGGTAAGTATAGATATTCCACTTATTTGGTTTTCAGAGCACAGATATTCCATTTCTTTCATCAATGTTTGAGGAGTACAGATATTCCACTTCCTTGGTGAGGTTTATTCCTAGATATTTTATTATTTTTGGTGCCATTGTAAATGAGATTATTTTCTTCATTTCTCTTTCTGCTGTTTCCTTATTAGCGTATAGAATTGCAACAGATTTCTGCAATGATTTTGTATCTTGCAACTTTACTGAATTCATTTATCAGTTCTAATCGTTTTTTTTTAAAGATTTTACTTTTAAGTAATCTCTACGTCTATGGTGGGGCTCAAACTTAGAACTCCCAAGATCAAAAGACACAAGCTCCACTGACTGAGCCAGCAAGGCACCTCTATCAATTCTAACAGTTTTTTGGTGGAGTCTTTAGGGGTTAATCTGTAAATTTAAAAGTAATCCCAATAAAACAAAACAACAGAACTTTGTTTTTAATCTAGTTAATAGATTCTCAAGTCCACACAGGAAAACAAATAAGCAAAGTCAGACATGTTAAATTGGGAGGACTAGTCCTCTTAGATGTTCAAAAGCTAAAATAAATAAAACAGTAAGGTCCTGGAACTTAAAAGATTAACAGAAATGAATAAGCAGGTAAGAAATCTACACTATATTTTATGATACAGATTAAGAATTAGCCAACTCTTTCTTAAAGAGACAGATAATAAATATTTTAAGCTTACAGGCAATATGGGCACTGTCATAACTAACCAATTCTGATGTTTTAATTCAAAAGAAGTCATAGATACATGTAAATGAAAGAACATGGCTGTGTTCCAATAAAACTTTATTTATAAAATAAATTAGCAGTTCAGTGGACCATTGTTTGCTAACCTAATACAAATGCAAAACAGTGGGAAAAAAATATTATTCAAAATACGAGAGTCACCATGTACCTGTCAAGTGAAATAAACTTGGATTTGTACCTCATATGGTACCCAGAATAAACTTCAAATGAATAAAAGATTCATGAGACTTTATGTATTCCATGTCTTTAGGTATCAGTACATGCTATATAGTACTGTGTAAATCAGCTCCTCATAGTAAGCTAATCATCTATTCTAGCCTGCCCATCCATGCTTGGCACTCATTAACTATATGCAGAATTAAAATTATCTTTCTAAAGCTTACAATGTAAAACATATAGTTTTTCCTATATCATTAAAAATATTCATGGAAACAAGTGAAGGTCATCAAAAATACTGGACATAAAGCAGCATCAAGGAACTATTAATTACACTGAAAGAGAAAACCAAATGGAAATCCAATTTCTTCAAATACAATAAACATGGTACAAGACAGACAGGAAGAGGAAGAAACAGAAAATGAAGATGCCACTTAGTCCGAAATTTTCTATCTTCAGTATATTCCTTTATTTTCACATTTCAAAGAGTCTTAATCACAAAATTATACAAATGACATCAACAAAATATTATCAGGCAATCTCTGCCTAAATGGAAGGATCGGTAGAACTAAAGCCCACTAAGACTTTAGGCAAAAATAGACCTGCACCTATATTTCATTTGGTATTCAGTTTATCATTATCATGGCATCATTTGTAACAGCTAAAACATGGAAACAACCCAAAGGGCCATCAACTGATGACGGATAAACAAAATGTGGCATTTCCATGCAATGAAACATTATTCATCCATAAAAAAGATTGAAGCACTGATTTATGCCACACCATGGATGACCTTAAAATTTTTAAGCAAACCATTACATGAGACAAGGACACATTTGCAATATGAAGCCCTAGGGAGCCAAAGAATCCCAATGTATTTAATACTGATATATGCACATTTACAATATTCTGCAGAAATAACTCACAAGTGGCACTGAGACAGTTTAACATTGTTTAACTTAATTTACCTGTGTACATTAGAGAGGAGAGTGGATACCGCAAGCCAAGCGCATCTTCTGTAAAGGAATCAACAAAGTCCTCCAGCATATGAAGCCCAAAATCTTTGCCTCGGTATTTCTTTCTTACAAACATTGTATCAAGGACTGGCAGTTGGTAGCTTTGGGTAAGAAATGAGGCACATACACTTCCTGTAGTCATAAGAACAGAAACCCAACAATTTTTCACATTAAAAGGCCAAACATGTATACATGTTTAAAGAACATGAGTTCTTTAACTAGAAATGGTTAGTTTTTTCCTACTTCAAGAAGAATGTCAAATAAATGTATCAATTTCATAACATAAAATGCTTCCCAACTGCTATTACACATAACAAAGTATACATGTAATAATGATAAGAGCTATGTATTTTATGTTTGCCAACAGTATCACCTAATACAAGTAACTATTCCCATGTTATGAACTATATACTAGAACATGCATCTCTGTAGACTTGCACAACTTTAAAACTCATCAACTATTAACTTATAGAACTGAAAGGGTATTTGATGACTGTATACAGTTTATAATACACGAAGTATCTCATTCCAACTATGGTCCCTGAACATCCACCTTATCCCTTTTTCTCTAGTGAGTACAGTCTCATTTTACTACTTCGTGATGGCAAAGAAGTGAATTAGTTGTCCAGATTTTTAAAGACTATGGATTAGAACTAAATGGCAACTTGGTCTTAGAAATGGCTATGTTTGCGATCTGTTTGCTCTGAGTCTATTTTTTAAAATATCCTCTATGTTTAACCTTAAACATAGAGAAATAATTTACAGTAACTAAATATGCCTCTTCTTATTGCACAGGTATACTGAGTTGTCTTTTAAGAACCCTGATTTGTGTTCTGACCCTCTACTTAGATGTGTTAGTACCTTAACACATTTTAAGACAGTATATAAGTTACAGGCATCAGGGTGGGGCATCCCACCCTAATCTCTATTTTTAGAATTAGTTCGTATTTATCAGTCGATATTCTACTCTTTGTGCCTCAAATAACTTACTGTTCTCAGATTATTCATACGATTTGAGATAAATTTCAATAATGCGGTACAAGGAAGAAACAAAATTTCAGGTAATAAACAACTTACAAATTGATTTTCACCAATCACAGCATTTGATGAATTGGTCAATATAACAAGATTTATTTTTTTGGATGAACAAAATAATTTGAATTACTTATGATTAAACTGGAGAATTTCAGTAACTTTCTGCAATAGTCTACAAGACTATCAAGTAATTTAAGTTTAGAATAGGAAATTCACATGCTTGGATCTTAACTGCTAACATTTGGTTAGGAAATTTCTATGGGTTAAAGGGCCTTAAATGATGACTATAGTTAACAATACTGCATACTTGATATTTGCTAAGAAAGTAGAAATTAAATGTTATCAACACAAAAAAAAGGAAAAACTGTAATTATGTGCAGCAATATATGTTAATTAGCTTGATTTTGGTAATTTACAATGTATACATATATCATCAAGTTGTACACCTTAAACATGTACTTTTGTCAATTTTACTCATAAAGCTGAAATATATAAATACATTACATGTAAAAGTCTAACAGGTAGTCTCACCAACAAGCTACTATGATCATAATCAACTTATAATACCTTGAAATTAGTTTTTTCATAATAGTGATTATGAAATCAAAAGAGACATTACCTTATAAGCACTAGTAATTCAAAAGACAAAGCAGAAATGAGAAGTAAAAGCACTATCTAGTTTTAATTCTCAGTATGGAGCCTGAGGATTTATGGCCATTTACTATTGTACATGCTTCAGGTCCGTTACAGAAAAATTTTAATTCTATGAAGGAAATTTTCCACAAATTGATTTCTTTGTTTTACACAAACATTTCTTCTAGTAGAGAAGAGGTCCAGCATCCTCGTGTTAAAATTTATGAAACTAGTATCTATGAAGTTAAAATTCTTCTATTTATTTACCACGTACATACTCATTGCAAAAAACCACACTGATCCTCTTCCTTTACTTAAATATTTATACAGCTGACCCTTAAACAGCTGGGGAGTTAGGGGTACTGATCCCCTGAACAGCTGAAAATCCACCTAACTACTAATAGCCTACTGCTGACTGGAAGCCTTACTAATACCAAACAGTTCATTAACACCCATTTTGTTTGTTACATGTATTACATACTGCTTTCTTCCAATACAGGAAGCTAGAGAAAAAGAAAATGTTATTAAGAAAGTCATAAGAGAAAATACATTTACAGTACTATACTGTATTTACTGGAAAACAATAATTCATACATAGTGGACTCACGCAGTTCAAACCTATCTTGTTCAAGGGTCAAGTGGACTTTGTGTACGGGTTCTGCTCAATTATCTACTAAAGCAAAACCACAACCTGCTAACTTAGATGACGTTTTCATTAAATTAAATTTACTAAGTGGAATTAAACTTAGCATTGCACATGGTAGACTGAATACTTATATTTCTCAAAGTTCAATATTTGACCACCTTCTTCTTCCATATATTCCCGCTGGGAAATCTCACCTACTCCCAAGGCTTGTACCATTTATCCAAATATTGACAATCACTAATCTTTAATTTCTTTAACACGAGGCCTTTCCAAGATCAAGAATGGAAGCGCTCACATAAATGTAAAGATAACAAAAATCATAGGATTAGTTCAATAAACAGAGAAAAAAAAAACATTTGACAAAATCCAAGACCTTTCATGATAAAAATACTCAATGTCCTAAACTTCATAAAGGGACTTATGAAAAACTCACACTTAATGATGAAAGACTGGATGGTTTCTCCTAAGATCAAGAATAAAACAAAACTTCATTCTCACTGCTTCTTTTCAACACTGTACTACAGGTTCTAATTAAGCAAGAAAACTAAATTAAAGGTCCCTAGACTGACAAGACAAGTAAACCTACATTTTCAGATGACATGATTTTGTATATAAAAAAAATCTTAAGGAATCCACAAAAAATTATTAAAACTGATAAAAGGCAGCTCAGCAAGGCTACAGGACACAAGATCAATATACATTCAATTGTATTTCTATACACCAGAAATGAACAATTTGTAAATGAAATTAAAACAATTACATTTACCACAGCATTAACAATAAAATTCTTACGAATAAATTTAACAAAAAAAGGGCAAAGCTTATGTGCATAAACTATTAGCATTGTTAAAAGAAATTAAACATCTAAATGAATTAAAAGACACCCATGTTCTTGGATCAGAGGACTTAACATTATTAGATGTCAATATATTCTCCAAAATGACCTAAAAATTGAAAATTCTCAGCTAATTTTTTTTTTACTTGCAGAAATTGACATGGTCTGGGGCACCTGGGTGGCTCAGTTGGTTAAGCATCGATTCCTGATTTCAGTTCAAGTCATGATCTCACAAACAGAGCACAGAGTAGCATAGAGCCTGCTTGGGATTCTCTCCTTCTCTCTCTCTGCCCCTCCCCACGTGTTCATGCTCTTTCTCTAAACTCATAAAAACAAACTAACTTTTAAAAAAATTGACAAGGTGATCCTTAAATTCATACGAATTGCAAAGGACCTCAAAAAGTGAAAATAATCTTAATGAAAAATAAAGTTGGAGAACTCACACCTGTCATTTTCAAATTTACAAAGCTGCGGTAATTAAGACAGTATGGTACTGGCACATGAACAGATATAGAGATCAATGGAATAGAACTGAGGGTCCAGAAACAAGGCCTCATATTTATAGTCAAATGACTTTTGACACCAAGGCAACTCTATGGAAAAAGAACAGTCTTTTCAATGAATAGTCCTGGATGACAAGATAGTCACCTATGCAAAAAAAAAAAAAAAAAAAAAAAGATGTTGGCCTCCCACATACCTTATACACAAATTAACTGCAAAAGGATCATCAACCTAAATTTAAGAGCTGTAACTACAAAGCTCTTAGAAGAAAACATAGCAGTAGATCTTCATCACCCTGGATTACACAAGGCTTTTTTAGATAGAGGGAAAAAAATTTCCGTATTATATATCCAAGAAGAGATCTATCTGTATCTAAAATATATGAAGAATGCTTATTAATTCAATAATAAAAAGACAAACAAAATCATATTTTAAAATGGGCTAAGGACTGCGGTGCCTGGGTGGCTCAGTCAGTTAAGCATCTGACTTCAGCTCAGGTCATGATCTTGCTGTTTATGAGTTAGACCCCTCATCAGGATCCTCTGATCCGCTTCAGATCCTCTGTTTCCCTCTCTCTCTACCCCTTCTTTTTGGTACGCATGCATGTGCTCTCTTTGTCAAAAATAAATATTTTTTAAAATAAATAATAAATTTTGTCATATGTGACAACAGGAATGAACCTTAAGGACATCATACTAAATGAAATAAGCCAGCTACAGAAGTACAAATACTGTAGGACACCCAACTATAAGAGGTATTGAAAAGAGTCAAACTCAGAAAACAGAACGGTAGTCACCAAAGAGAGATGGGGAATTGCTAGTCAATGGGTTTTAAGCTTCATTAATGCAAGATTAGTAAATTCTAGGGACCTTCCATATTATTCCTATAGTTAATATTATACTCTGTACTTAAAAATCTGTTAAGTGTAAATCTTCTGTTCTTAAGCCAATAAAGTAAGGATTTAAAAAGGTTTTTTAAAGATAAATAATCCAGGGACACCTGGGTGGTTTAGTCGGTTAAGCGTCCGACTTTCACTTAGGTCATGATCTCACAGTTTGTGGGTTTGAGCCCCACGTCGGGCTCTGTGCTGACTGCCAGCTCAGACCCTGGAGCCTGTTTCAGAGTCTGTGACTCCCTTTCTCTCTGACCCTCCCCTGCTCACACTGTCTCTCTCTCTCTCTCCTAGAAATAAATAAAAAACATTTAAAAAAAAATTTTTTTTTAAAAAAGATAAATAATCCAGACAGAAAGTAGACTAATGGTTTCCAGGGACTGTTGGGTAAAGAAAATGAGTGACTCCTAATGGTCACAGGGATTCTTTTTTTTGTTTTGTTTTGTTTTAATGTTTACTTAATTTTGAGAGAGAGAGCATGAACAGGGGAGGGTCAGAGAGAGAGGGAGACACAGAATCAGAAACAGGCTCCAGGCTCTGAGCTGGCTGTCAGCACAGAACCCGACGCGGGGCTCGAACCCACAAACCGT